GCTTCACCCATCCCCCCACCCTGGCTCAGCCCCACCGTATCCATGCAGGGGAGAAGCCACATCAGTGCTGAGAGTGTGGGAAGGTCTTCACTCAGAGCTCCACCCTGGCTCAGCACCACACAGGGAAGAAGTCGTATCGATGCTCAGAGTGTGAGAAGACCCTTGCTATCTCTGACGGACTGACTCAGCAGCAGCGTATCCATGCTGTCATAACCAAGTGAGTTGACTGCCCCTGTCACAATAGAACTGCCCTGAATAACCGCAGTTACTTTCAGATTTAGTACATTCTGCCTCATTCACTATTCCCACTTGGCAGTCTGTCATTGGCTACTCTAAATGTATAACTCCAACGCCATACAACCCGCAGTCCAATGGCGTCGTGGAGAGACACCGGCTGATACAAAGAACAACTTCACCTCAGAGGGGGAGGAATGTACAAAAACTGGACTAAGAACAATCATGACGTCCTCATTTTGCTGAACACCGCAAAGTCACTACGGGACGAGGCTAATCCCAAGAAATCTCTACCATGGGATCCTAAATTCCAACCAGATGAGTTAGTGTGGGTTTCGATACCGCACCCTTGTCAATCTCATCCACAAGTCTACAAGGGAACCGTTCAACGGTCGGAACAGTATCCCAATACCTATTCCGTCCTGTTAGAAGAAAAGCCCGATCGTCCCCCCCATTATCGTTCACCACAACTGGATGACTCACCGTTCATCCAGTTTCCTTGTAGTGAACCCAATTACGGTTTTCTTCTGGTTTTTTGTCCCCTTACAGGCCCGGCGGTGACGAAGCGGGAATCTACAGCCGCTTGGACGCAAGATCCACCGAGCACCGTCGCAGACGCGAGAGCCCGATGTGTGACGGCACCATGACACCTGCCAAAGCCCTTATGATTGAACTTTTTGTAATTAACCTAATTATGTGTATTTGTATTTGCATTGGTTGTTGTTTAATCCGATTTATTAAGGATATATATACCCGTTTACCACTTGAACCTTGTGAAGCCGACGAGTTCGTGGATGACGCAGCCGTCTAACCTAATTCCCTTGTCTGTTGTGACATGGTCAAGGGGGAATGTCATAACCAAGTGAGTTGAGTGCCTCTGTCACAAAAGAACTGCCCTGAATAACCGCAGTTACTTTCAGATTTAGCGCATTCTGCCTCATTCACTATTACCACTTGGCACTATTCCCACTTGGCAGTCTGTCATTGGCTACTCTAAATGTATAAAAATCCGTGCAACTTCCGCCCAAGTCGGAGACCTCTGAGCACACAGCAGAGTGACCTCAGAGAATTCTGGCCACGTGACAGAGTGAATTGGCGGCCTGATCAACCACCAGTTTCTCCCCGTCATTGACCCGTCCTGACATACCCCTATCCTGCATGCTCGTTTCTTTCTACAAACTCGCCGGCTCAGTTCTGTTGTTAGTTACCTGTAACCATGCAAGCAACTTCTTACCTGTAACTATGTAAGCAACCTTACCTCCTGCGTCGCGGCCACCAGCGGCGTCAGTAAAGTTTAAAGTAAAAGTTATTTTGCAACCAATACGCTGTGTCTCGCCTCTCCATCCACCAGCCCGAGCACCAGCGTATCCACACGGGGGAGAAGCCACATCAATGCTCAGAGTGTGGGAAGGGCTTCACTTATGGCTCCCAGCTGGCTGTGCACCAGCGTATCCACACGGGGGAGAAGCCACATCAGTGTTCAGAGTGTGGGAAGATCTTCACTTACTTGTCCAGCCTGGCTAGGCACCAGCATATCCACACGGTGGAGAAGCCACATCAGTGCTCAGAGTGTGGGAAGAGCTTCATTTACTCCCACAAGCTGGCTCTGCACCAGCATATCCATGCAGAGGAGAAACCACATCCGAGCGCGAAGACCAGTAAATGCTTCTTCCTATCCTCCAAACTGGCCCGGCACCAGTGTATCCCTATCCAGGAGTGTCCATAATTCTGCCAGCAATACAGAAAGGGTTTGGGGATGTATACCGGCTCAGCACCCACCAGTGTCTGCATCCAGGGAAGCAGTGGCAAGCCAGGGGACTGCAGCAACAGTTCACGCCTTGTTCAGCCTTTTGAGGGCACTGGAAAACCCAAAGGACACAGAGGCCAGCCTCCCAGGTTTGATATGGGTGAGGGGTTAAAAGGAAATGCCTCAATCAGATGCCCACACTGTTACCTCTCAGCTCTGTGTTCTTGGGGAACCCTGGCACAGGACACAGTCTGTCTGATTCACAAAGAATTATCAGCTTTTGTATATACTTGTTTACCATTTAAGAATCCTGAACGAGACGATGACGACGTGACCGGCTTGTAAGAGTTATAATTCCAACTGTGCCGTTGGCAAGGGGGCGTGTCAGAACCCATTAGTAGTTGTATGCCTATGGCACAGTGGAATCTCCCGCCACAGTGGAATCTCCCGCCATAGTGAAAAAGTCCCGCTGTCAATCATTCTGCTGTCAGTCATTCTGAATGCTATGGCACAGTGGAAATTCCGCTGGTGACAGTAACTAGGTCACGGTGGAAAATTCCCCTGTGTCAGAACCCAATAACTATATGGCACAGTAATGGAAAATTACAGCTTAGAAAAAGTTCCCGCCAACTTTATGCAAACACACACACCACCATTGGCCGGTTCCAAATTATTCATATTTGGCGACTAGCAATTGGCTCGCTAGCCATATAAAAGTTAAAGCAGTTCCTGCCCACGTTGGAGAACTCAGAGACCTCGGAGAAATCGGCGCGTTTCTCGAGTAAACCTGGTGGACTGATCACCCACCAGCAACTCCCCGTCACCGACCTACCCGACGTACCCCCGCGTCTTGCATGCTTGTTCAGTCGTTCACGGACATCTCATCACGTTCTCAGAAAGCTTTCATCTCGTTCGTTTGCAACTGTAATCTAAATCAGTTCTTCTTCCTACGCTGTATACATCGACGGCGTAAGTAAATAATCTCTTTGTTCAACCAAT